GTCTAGTCATTCATTAATCTGATACGACGGGAGTGTCCTTACGGAACGTGCGCTGATCGCAACTCTCGATCACTCGAGTGACCCGCTTTAAACTCGCCCGCGTGCGTGCGTGTGGCTCGTCCTACGATACATGTGAGATCAAGAAGTACAAAGTAGTCAACTAGGTGAATTAACATCGAGAAAGGAAAATGCGGCTAGGTAAGAATGACGCATGATTATATTATTCTCGCTTTCAGACGAACATTATGAGAAACGGAACCTGTCTCATCAGAGTAAGCATTTTATACACAAAATAAAAAATTGTATCTAATTCAACTATTGAGTGCGCGAAATAATATTTTTTATTATTAATAAAAAGATTCTTTTTATTATTTTTGTTAAAGTTTTTTTTAACACGATATTGTTCTTAAAATTAATTAAAGATAATAGAGTTATGGAATACTTTCGTCTGATGATATATATACATGATATTTATGGGAGTGATCAATTATTTCATATATGTGAATAATTCATTTACCTACCGACTATCATAATTGATAATCGCACGATATCATCAGCGCGCTTTTGCTTCTTTATATAATATTGATGATAAAAGCTATCAAGATAAAAAGAATTATGATCTACTTTAATTATAAATAAAAGCTTCCTTACAATGTTTCGGTTTTTATTTAAATCGCGATATATTGCATCTTTACAACAACTTGATTTTGGTGCAAATAATTTAGTGCAAATTGCACGTTTCTCTCCATTAATAGCGGCACTTTAGAAATAGCGTTTCTAGAAAAAAGTCTCTGTTTTTAATGGAACGGACAAATTTCACGGCTCATCTCGTATCAAACTGACGCAAATACGTCTGCGACAAATTGCTCACGCCATGATGCTTCGGAGATGAGCGTTCGAAGCACGGCATTAATGTTATCCAGCAGGAACCGCGATCTCTCGCCGTTCCTTTATTCTCTCGCATTAATTCTGAAAAGCGACAACGTCAAAAGAAACGGCGCTTCATCTTGTTTTTCTTTGTAACAAGCCACGGAACGCCGCAATCAAGAAATCAGCCGAGAATAACTATGCGAATGATTTTGCACAAGAGGAGAACCGTATAAAGTACTCACATTCAATAGTGTTTCTCTGAGAACGCTCACTTTTCTGTTGCATCGCCTATGGCGATCGATGTATTTCACATAATCATGATATGCAATTTCACTTTTGTCATTTTATGAAATAGTTCGCACAACGTAACGTAATCGTTTACCGCGATGGAATAGTAAGGCTGCGTTCGGAAACATCACCCGTGTGCACAAAAGCGTCGTTCTATCTTTGTTATTTACTAAAACTTGAACAAAGATAGAACGACACTCGTGTGCACACGGGTGATGTTTCCGAACGCAGCCTAATAGATGAAGCGTCACCATCAATGATGGAATAAATTGGCAATAACACAATAAATAAACAAACTTGCACGTGCCGCACTTATCTCTGTGAATCATCTTCTGGCGCCCGTTGCATCTTGACGGCTACCTGTCGACTATCGTCTTTATCGCGATGCGAGTAAATGCGAGTCGCAAGATTCCTGATGTTACTCCTGACGTGGCATTTGCCGTATTTACATGAACGCGCTACAAAGTATACGAACAAAATACACGTACGCATAAATTTGAATCAAATTACTGATCAAATTTATCTTAATCTTATCGCATCGTAGGCTGGATAAATAAAGACGCAATCGATATAACCACAGAGGCAGGAAGTAACGATTAAACAAAAAGGCCCCTTTGTACTGATATATAATCCTATTTAGTCTTCTGTTAGCATTTTTACAAAGCAGCGCATTGCAACTGTTAATATGTATGAAAAAAATATATTAATTAATGAAGTCAAAATCTCATACCATAATAATTACTTTATACTACAATATTGTTTATAAGAGATGCAAATCTTAAATAGATTATAAATGTCTTTTAAAAAGTTAACGAAAAAAATTTTTTTCATTGAAAAAAGTGGCAATTAAAAATAAGGGCAATGTATCTATGAAATAATTTCTCGCAACATTCACAATCTACTTTCTTCTCGCCTTATTTACGCGTACATAAAGCTTATAATATTCGATAGTAACCAATCAAAATTAATAGTCAGCAATAAGATTTAACCAATCAGATCGAACATTATTCTAAAGATGGTGGGACAGTACACAGAAAAAAATATTATAAGTGAACCGAGCCAAGGACCAAGTAGCGCAAGAGTGGAAGGCATTTCCGTTCTGGCATACACAACACTAGCAAAAACTCGACATTACCTACTATCGACAGTGGGATTAAGCTCGTACCTCATGTCGACAGATCGGCTGATTTCAAGAGTTAGCCGAGCGTAGCAAGAATTTTCCATTTTCTCCTATTAAAAGAAAAAAAAGAGCGCGCCGTTTGCTCGGAAATAGCCTGCAGCTTTGTCGGTTACATAATGGAAACGTTAAAAATATGTACTTTACACAGAAACCGAGAAACTGGGGAAGCCCACCGCAATTTTTCCCTGACGCCATCGATTCTTATCGGAAAACTTTATAACATCAATCCAGCCATTTTCGATGCCGTTTCGATAAGGCGCGAAAATGTAAATGGATATTTTAAACACATAAATCTGCAATAAAGATATATGACGAGACTCAGCATTTATATATCTGTGATAAAAATGTCAACAAGTTAACGAAATTAAAAAAAATTAATTTAATAAAATATATTAAATTTTAACTGCAAGAATATCTCGCAACAAATTAAAATGCATTAACAAATTTAATTATTTTCAACATTTTCATTGCTTATACATTTTGCCTTTTTTATGTCTCTAAGAAATGTCCTGTATCTTTAAATATAAATCATATATTGCATGATGCGTTAAATATTCTAATTTATTACGTTGAACGTATATTTCTTGTTTTACATGTGTATATATATTTTAAAAAGTATATAATGTTCAGAAATGTACCATTATATTTACACTTCATAATTTTATTGTACGTTAGGTATCGTATCGTTATCTGATTTTAACGAAGTAAAGCGCATTTCAAAGTCCTTTTTTCGCATGCAGACATCTTTTCGTCGTAGGACGGATTACCGGTCAATTAACGACGTGACACTATAATTGGCGCGGTAATTCGATCCTCTTACGGCTGAATCCTCCGAGGTAGCCCGCGCATTTCTGGACCCCGAGTTAAGCGACCGCGCGCACATCGTTAAATTAAAATCCCGAGGCGTTCGCCGGCACCGACGTGGCCCGCAGCGGACCATCCCGGCGCTGCCGTCTAATTTGTAGCGCATAATATTCGAATAATTTGCACGCGTTAATGGAACCGGCCGTGGGTTTCTCGCCGGCTACGGCGCGCGAAATCACCTTGCAAATATTTGCGTGCAATAAAAGTGATTCAACTCGATAGGTGTCGGACGAAATCACCGGAAATCGTAGCGAGAAAACACGAATACGATATCTTAAACACATAACTCCGTATTTAAAACGTTGTACGTAGTTTTATTTATAACACTTTATGCAATACTGTTATAATTGTATCGATGAGATCGAAATCGATCATCTAATCGCGAATGTATCTTATCGATGACGTCTCACATGCGAATCGTTGCTTCTCCCCCATCCTTAGCAACAGAATAAAAATATCACACGTCTTGCGCGATATCTTCCGATTCGATGTGTGTCGCGATAAATATTTTGATCAAAATACAAGATACGCAAGCTTTATTATAATCTGCGTGCGTGAGATTTATGTGCGCGAAGTATTTTTATTTCAACATGATAAAATTATCTCGTTTAAGTAATGAGAGAGGGAAATGTAAAGTTAAATATAAACACCGACTAGACAGACTGTATGTTAAGCATTTTATACGCAACAAGTCTTAGTCATCAATTTTGTGTCAAGAATATACATCTTCTTTACGAATACTGATTTATGAGCCACGTGCCCGGCACAGAAACTTACTTTCCTGGTTTCCATATATATATATTTAGAAATTTTTTTTCTTGTTGCAATATAGTTAATATGCATAAGATTTTCAAGATGGTAATACTAAAATCTTTATTTATTAGATGCTATTGTTTTGAATTTGCCAAAGGCATTGTCACATAACGTTAATCAGATGAAAATGTAGTCATTTAGAGAAATAATCGCATCAATATATATATATATATATATATATATTGATGCGATTATTTCTCTAAATGACTACATTTTCATCTGATTAACGTTATGTGACAATGCCTTTGGCAAATTCAAAACAATAGCATCTAATAAATAAAGATTTTAGTATTACCATCTTGAAAATCTTATGCATATTAACTATATTGCAACAAGAAAAAAAATTTCTAAGTAATTCAGATAGCAATTATTTAATCATTTTGACGTTTCAATCTTTAATTTACATCTTATTTGCACAATCAATTGTAACCAATGCATTTTATTGAAAAATCTTATCTCGAGATCATTTTTCTTCGCTCCAATCATTCATGTATATTGTTGCTAATTATCTTAATGCTTAATTAAAATTAATGCTTTTTTTATAAGATAATTCCCCAAAACTATGCGTTTACCTGTCGTTTATATTATATATTTTTTATTAATCGCCTCGAAATATCTATCGCATGAGTCCGCAAAGCAATCGGTGAGTCTAATGACATTTCGTTTGTGCAAAGAGATCAACGTGGCCCCCGGGGGTCCAATGCATAGCTCATCATACAGTATGTCTCCCCACGCGGAGATCGCGCAACAAGGGTGGCGTGCGTGCAGGTGGGAGGACAGGGAGGACGTACTGACAAGCCGAGGACTACGGTGGGACTACGGAAGGGGGCTGGAGGCAGTGGCAAGAGGGAGAGAGGTGGGACCGAGTGCCGGTGAGCGTGCGAGAGCGAGAGGACGAGGTGAATAGTGAGTCCGTGAGCTCGAGTGAGTAACTGGAAGTCGCAACTGGGGGACCCACTCAGTCACCACGAGATCGGCAAGCCGAATGGTCTACCGCGCCGGTGGTTCTTCTAGAAAGTTTGCGAAGAGTCAATGGGAGCTCCAGCAGGGCATCATCCCTTCGAATGTCAACGGGTGGCACCATCCGCAGGACCTACCAGGATCTTATCGCGGCGCAGGTAGACAGCCGGTTGCGTTGCGTCAATTGCATCCTGACGGAAAACAAGCCGATCGAATACGAAAATTATCTTGCGGAAACTTTGACGATGTGGAAATTTCTAGTGCGCTGTTATGTCACTTTGACATCCATCTGACGCACAATAACTTTGGTGCATCTTTCGCGATCTCGATTACTGGGTATCCCGAGAATTTCGATATCGCGTGACAGTTTGTCGCCCGGCGACGGTGGACAATAGCGAACAATAACAGCATCATTTTTGGAGCGATTCCAATCACCGATTCGCGGAGGGATCGCGGAGTGTGCAAGTGGATGCGAGCGGAATCTATCAACCGGAGCAGCCGAGGACTTTCCTGCAGGAGGACGAGGAAGAGATGATCTTCGATCTGCTGGTGGCCGGAGCCTTCGCCCTCGCCACACTAAGGCGGTGTGTGTACATTGTTGAATTCTATGCACTTTCTCTAATGCGCATATATATATTTCGCTTTCGCATCGTCTCGCGGAGATGAGATATTCGCCACGCGCAAACATTTGCCAACAACAAGACGAAAACATTTCGCGGATATTACGTTGCGTTGGCGCGTGTCGCGTTCCTCTCTCGCCGGCATACATTACAACGTTACTTCACTCCTGGCGTTGACGTCTCCGCGAGATCGCATTGCGCTTTCAGGAGAATGAAAATCGCTACGCATTTCTGTCACGCCGAGTTCGCAGAACTAAATGAAAGAAAATGATCGTCAGACTGACGACAAGTTTTACTGAAACACGTATAATGATGCAATGACACGTGAGGAATCCGCGACGTTTAAGATACCGTTTCTCTTAATTCGCACGATGCGCTGTTTTTATCATCGTTATCGATTGCGCTCAACCGGGGGTTAGTGATCTTGCTTGAAGAAGACGGACAGAAAGAAAAAGATAATCGAGCCGCGTTTTATAACGAACAAACGTTCAAAATAATTTAGCGCAAATTTATAATTTATCTCATTAACATGTTATTTAAATTTCTGAAATGTACAGCTTTCCATTCGCTTATAACAACTATAATCAAAAATATATGTCTTCAGAATCTTTGCTTGAATTCCGTGCTCAACGCGCGACTGTTTTTTGCATCATTCAGTATCATTTTTGCCAGAAAATATTTGTCTCTCATTTATTCTTCCCGTAAAAGAAAAAGAATACAAAACCGTTTTCTTATATTATAATTACGCTTGTACGATAATTATTAATTGTATGCAACGTTTCAGTAATTTACAGTTTAAATATGTGCAAGTTCTTAATTTAATTCATATATTAAAATCTATCTATCATCACCAAATTGGAGTTTGTGTCAACTTAATTCTATTTATTCAGAGTGTTAAAAGTATTAACACTAATCGTGACATTATTAACATTATTTATTATTAAGAAATCTGATTTATATATTTTTTTAATATCATTCAAATATGTATTATTTGCATAATTTTCATACATAGATAATCTCCGTGTGATATAAGTTAACAATAAATTTTCAATAAATTTTCAATAAACATTATACACATAATATTTACATCATATAGTTTCAAAACATTAATTTCATATTAATTAATGTTATCAATACAGATAATTTTATTTGAGATGTTAAACTACAATTTTAAAAAGAGCAGACAATATGTGTGTGTGTGTGTGTGTGTGTGTGTGTGTGAAGATACTTCTTCCGGAAAAAATAAGAATTAGTCGGCATAGCAATTGTACGAGTCCTTGTACTAATTTAATCTCAAGCTTAAGCGACTACGTTTAAGCTTTATTTTCTTGCGATAACAATGCAAACATTCCTCACATAACGCTGAAAGACTGATAGCCGCAAGATTTATAGTGTCATTGTTTGCGGAAATGATACAACATTCGTGCATATATTTTGTTTCATTCGTAATTATAATGTGCTCATCTTTCAGAGAATTTTTATATTAATATTTATTTATTTACATATATTATTTATTTATAATTAGTAAGAAAATTGTGTTTTTATTAATTCGCTTTACACCAATTATATAATCGCTTTACACCAATTAACTTTGCTTTGCAATGTTTATGATTTCATGCACGCTTAAAAAATTCTTGTTTCGCTAATTAGTGACTAAGCATTGAAATGAGTCAGTACATGAGATAAGGTTGCTAGTGTGTTTATTTGGCTTCAGTCAGTCCGGGGCTCAAGAAGATAGATATCAATAGTTTAATTCACCTACGACCTCTATATCGTTAGCACTCTATTTGCACATTTACTAATACATTAACATTTCTTTAGCTATTTTCTCTCTTAACAAATGAATCTTTATTACAAGAATGTGATGCAAAATTATATATATAATAAAGTACAATATTGCCAATATTCTATTATAACTAAACATAGTTTTAAGATATTGATTTTCAATTATATAAAATCAAATTCTTAAGCAAATAATAAATTAATTATTTATTTCATTTGACATAAATGTATCTGTTGACAAAAATTCTAAGAATTTATATCATTGGCTATTCCAATTATTCATTTTTAACGTTATCTTGATACACATAATATTTAACCGCAATGAATAATTTATATTCAGTCATATCTATTTATTTCTATTTTCTGCGGATTAAAAGCGGTTCTCTCAACCGCGATAGCCCGTTGTTCCGCGTCACTGCCACCTCCGAACTAGTCTTACTCATTGCTATCTATTTAATCTCTCATACTTATTTAGAGAGTTCCAATTTACTATAAATAATTGCTTGAATTAATTCACAATTAATTTGCTGTACATAATCAGTCATATGCTTCAATAATAACTTGTAATGCATAACCGGAATTAAAAGTAGAATTTACTACGCTCATATCGAATAGCATACATGAGGTAAGAAAAATATGTAAATGATCTCCGTTCTTTTTATATTCTAAGTCATTCAAGATGGATTTTAATATCTTTGCCTAATAATCTCAGTAGTATTTAAAGAGAGACATTGATCTGGAATATAAATAATAACATACAAATCCGAAATGCAATCGCATTCTTACGCAATAAAATTTCCCCGTCAAAGGGTGATTCTAACTTCGGGATGACAAATTTAAATTCGTCACCGAGAGCTGTCTGTTCTCCACCTCCACGTTCCCCATCACTCTGTAGAAGGTACAGCCGCCGATAGAGACGCGCGTCGTGTTGATACGAGACACACACGGACTGTTTGCTCGGGTACCATCGCGGACCCCTTTTTTTTTCATGTAGGCTCCGCGGACTCGAGTCACAACACTAGTAAAGTTACAAAAGCCGAAGGCAAACAGATCCGGAGACGGGCCTTAACCGGTTTATTAAACACTCGTGCGCGCCCCGGAGGTGGTCCCCATCGTTGCTGAAAGTGACGACGATGCGGACCAGCGGACGAGGACGACGGCGGCGTCGACGCCACTTGGTCGTCTTCCGGAGTCCAGGCCTGTATCGCGTCCGTCGCGAGTACGTCGTGCATCTTTCTTACGGTACCCCCTCGCCGAAAGTAAGTTGACTACTTTCGTACGTATACGCGGGACAAAAGCAATTCCTCACGGAGGTGGGAAAGAACGAACGAAGGAAGAGTCAAACAACTCTCAGACAAACCTTTCTCTCTTTTGTCAAGTCGAGCCGAGCCGCCGGCTTTAAATTCTGACAATTTCATGATTTCTATTTTCATTTGATCTCAAAGTCATTATGAGATATTAATCCCGCCGACGCACTTCAATGTTTTCTTTCTTTCGATCACTGATAATACAGAAATGATTGATGCAGTTTTTGGCTACCATCTAAATAATTATCATTTTCTATGAATTCGGTATGTAACATTTTTTTTAAAACCAATATTTTTTTGCGGCACCCTATACAGCACGAAGTTTTGACACGAATTACATCGTGAAATTTTTGTACGTCCCTTAGTGTCACCGAGTGACTTACGTCCTGCAACGGAAATAAAAGAAAAGTAAGGTCCCAAGAGCGACTTGGACGCGTACTGGGTTGGGGTTTTGGGTTCAGCAAGGTTCACTGGACATATTATGGGACAGACGAGCACTCCAGCGTGAAATGAAAATATTATGCCAGCGCTCAGACCACGCGTGACACATCGAAGAATTACTATATGCATATAAAAGTCGAAGATTCACCGTATATCTCGCAATGGAATGAATTTTCTACCGCGAATTGTCTTTTACGAAAAGATCACGCTGACTTTCAGTTAAGTGATGCCTGCTATTAAGATCCGATCTAAGATAGAAATCAGATAATAGAGTAATATTTCTCTCTATAACATTAAATGTTGACTTAATGTCTTGATTTATAATCTTAGTTTTCCTTTATTTATCCATTATGATTAAATAGTAAAAAAAAATAATCAAATATCAATTAAGATTTTGCAAATTTCTACTAATTAGAGTATTTAATCATGTAGAAAGAAAAAGGTAGAGAGGGAAAATAGTTATACCTTCTATTTAGTTTTACTATTTCTAATTTCCAATCTTGAATTATATTTGGCTTTTGAAATTAGATTAAACAATTGATTTAGAATTCTTTTAATTATAATATAATTAAGTCGCAGACAAGCATCACTTATTAGGTAGCTTACATTTAATTTTGATGAAATACCATATATGTCAGATGAAGTATCGAACGATCTGGCCGAGAGCTCGGGGTTATTTTTTGCGGTCATTTGTTAATCGTACTTAGTTACAACCGAAGTAGCCATTCGAAACATGCACAGGCAAATATACGAAAAGAAAAAGAGAAACAAGATAGGATAGTTTAGGAATAAATCAGACTCTCGAAAAAAAACTTCAGTTTTTTACCTTCTTATTCAGTTTTCTGACAGATTCTCTTGTTCTCTATCAACATGTTATCTGCTAATTAGAATCGATTTCGTTCTCGGAGTTTTCGATACCCGATACGCCTTACACAAAATTACGATTCTGGAATGTTCTCGTATTGTTTACGATTTATAAACAATTCGATTAAGTCGATCGTGTGCGATGGGGAATTTTTACGAACGTCGCGATAACACTTTCATGCGGCGTTTCCGCATCTCTTACACGGAAAAAAAATGTTGTTGCTTCAATTAAAGTCTACATCACGGGCTGCCAATAAACATACATAGTTCATTCAATGATATTTTTATTGGACC